ACACTTGCCAAAACATGGATGTAATCTTTTTTGCTGGTAGTTAAGAGCCTCCATTGATTTTTTTGAAGCCACAGTGTGGTGGGAAAGCTCTCACCCCATAAAAGCTTATTGAGTTGGCAGCAGACTTTTATTGCCTGTAATTTGACAAATTTCACAAAGTACAAATTTCCCTATAATAAAACTACATCGTAAAAAGTTAAAACTTTTGGTTCCTGGCTATTCTTGGCTACTTTAAAACCATTTAGTGCTGAAAAGGCTTCAGAAGTCTGCTTAATTTTCTGAATGAGATTCGACAATGCAAAAGTCTTATTACATTTTGTTACATTGCAGGTCTGTTTTGAGCCAGTTACTATTGATAATCAGTACTTGGTGTACATCATACTATGTAATCCTAAGGTATTATTAAAGACAGCAGGGTTTAAAATAACTTTTTAAAAATTTTGTATTTTGCTCATGGAACTATTTAGAGACATTTGTAGAGTTTAGTTTTTACCTTTGTAAAGTTAGTGGCACTTCTGCTAGAGATGTACCTTAAACAGATAAATCCCTGAATCCTAATCTTTTGCAGATAACTAATTTGATTTGAGAACATTTATTTACTTTAGGGGAAAGAAATATAAGGTAAACGTATTTTGGCTTCTGCAATCTGACTAGATAAGAGACCTTCAATTCTGGTACTTAGGGTCCCCTGTGTTGCATGCTCCAGGTGCGTTTGAAGTCACCAATGGCTGAAGAGTCCTCTCAGTCTACTGTACCATTTATCTAGAAACATCTAGAGACAGGGAAACCAACATTGATTTTATGTATTTTAAGAGAGAGCTATAATTTTGCTACTGATTATTACAGATTGTGCTTCACTACAGAAGTTATTTTTGTGACATTTAGGTATAATAAAGCATGTTCATTAACCTCTGAGAAGACTGTCTGAATTTTCCTTGAGGCTGGGCAAAGTGTCCTCCTTTTTGGAAATATATATATATATATATATATATATATATATATATATATATATATATATATATATATATATATATATATATATATATATATATATATATGTATATCTGTGGCATTTACGCACTAAAATCTAAACAATCAGAGCACCCTGTTTATGCAGCAACCATAGCTATTTGTACAACAGAGCTTAATCATATAGATAACCTACAAAGAGGAAAAAGTAAAAGGACTGCAATATGCTGATGAAGATTCTCTGTCATCCAGGTCATAGTCATTCCAAAAAAGATAAAAATAAAACAATATTCTGGACTTTGTTTCCAATTTTGAAGACGTTTCGCTTCCCATCCGGGAAGCTTTTTCAATGCAAGATCTCAGAAATAGGGTTGAGTTTGCATGTTTTCTGATGCTATTTCTGACATTTTGCTGAAAAAGCGTCCTGGATGGGAAGCAAATGTCTTCAAACTTAAAAACAAAGTCCAGTGGACTGTTTTTTTTTTTTTTTTTTACTTTTTTTGGAAAAGTAAATGGGCCCAGGACTCTGAGGGCCGGATTTATCAAGATCCAATTTTGTGTGCAGTAATTTGCGCTCGCAAACTGGAATTTTGCGCGAGGGGCTGAACCATGGTTTGCGGGTGATTTAAAGCTACAGTGTGTAATTTTCAGCGACATCTAGCGGTCAGACTGCAGACTGCAGCAACATGAACGTCTCCCCCCCACCGCTTCTCCCCCCCAACAGTACGGCGAGCGTTACGGGACAAAATGTCTTCCACGACGTCCGCATCACCTACCTTCTCAAGTGATGAGGTTTGTTTACATAGATAATTTTACAGATAGTATTTCATTAGTCTGTGTAGGGTATAGATTTCATGTAGACTTAAGATAATAAATATACCCGTTATTTTTTCTACGTCGTTGTGACGTTTTGGTGAGCTGCTTTGCATGGTGATATAAACAGACGAAGTAATTGTAGTCATTAGTTTAACAGCGAGATTGTGTTCGCTGGAAGAATATATATTCCCCGTTTACAGAGTCCAAGTCTTGTTTGTGGCACGGGGGTTACAAGGCAAGGAAGAGGGAAAGGAAGAGGGCAGAGAGGCCGGGGTGAGCGTGCAGCTGGGGCCAGGCGAGAGAGGGGAGCCAGCGGGGTGAGAGCAGAGGAGGAAAGGCTTGAAGATCTCCAAAGGAGCCGGAGAGAAGTAACCGAGGTATATATCCAGAAAATTATTTTACAGAAAATTACTGAATCATTACCTGTGAAACGTCAGGGACGTTGCTGAATAAGTATACTGGAGAGTAACAGCATCATCACGCAGCATGTTATTGTTTTAGACAGGTCTGAGCATCCTGTACTCCAAAAACTGCAGTGATATTAGACAATTGTGTGTATAGGATTAATTACCTGTCCAAGAGAAAACTGGCAACTTGAGCGTCACTTTGAAAACCTTTTTCCTCCATCAGTGACTTCCATCGTGTAAATGCCGTGCCAATGTTGATCCGTGTTTTTTGTCGTTTCTTGTCACTCTTGCGTTTATTCTCGTCGTGTTTCCGCTTCTTAGATGACGGGGGTTCGGTGTCCGCCGCTTTTCGTTGTGATACAGAGTAGGCATGATCCTCCATTCGTCTGATGTTTGGCCACACAGTGCCAAACAGTTTGCAAAGTCACTCACGCCTGCCGCCTTGTTTACCTTTCTTGTTACCGAGGCGCAGTATACCTGCTTCTTCTTCTTCTTTGGTTTCAGGCAGACTAAACGCTTCTCAGGCATAATACTGCCATCTACTGTTCAGTACCGTCTCAGTTCATCTCTCTCAACTTGCCGTAGTTATTTTCGAGCGTCATGGGAGATCTCGCAATCGCTAGTTTGTTGCCTCTGCGCTGCCGTAGCGCAAAGATGTCAGCCTCCATGGCTGCGAGACCCGCTCCTATGTAATTATAAATAACGAATTCTAAGGCAACGCAAATGTTATGGTTAAAAGGCTGAGCTCATAGGTGATGATAAATAACATAGTTATGTATAATATATTAAATTTCTGAATTTATATGCCTGTAATTATTACACACTGTAGCTTTAACAAGAGCGATTGCGTAACTGGTGGCAGGTGCAAAACTGTTGGAGACGCCCTATTTAAATGATGGTTTTGTGCGTTTTGTGGTTTGCGGCAAAGTAGTTTGTGCAAACTAGTGCATTAAGAAATTTTAATCTTACAGTGACACCCCCACCCCCTCCAAAAAATTATATATATATATATATATATATATATATATATATATATATATATATATATATATATATATATATATATATATATATATATATATAAACTTTGGCAACCTTTATTCCCTAAGGTGGTATGTGGCTGAATTCCTACTTCACTGCAGTAAAAAAACAAACAAAAAAAAAACAGGTGTTTTGTATTGGCCTGTAAAAAAATGCACATACCAAATGGCTCACAAGAAGTGACTGTGGATGAGATTATTGCGCATACGCATCCCCGCAGCATTGGCATGTTGCTCCACAGGCGCAGAGGTTGGGGTTCTCCGGTAGGGCGTCAGGGCGACATGGCATTTAGAACGTTCGGACAGCACTTCTGAAAAACAAGATTGGGAGATCCCAGATGCAAAAAAGTGCAATGTTGCAAGGAGTTTTGTGATATCTGGTATTGCGTGGGTCCTCCTTGTGGCTGGCTCCAAATCCATTCGGAGTTCCCCCAACAGCCCCAAAATGGCAAAGCTGGATTAACGATATGTTTTGATGATCGTTTCCTCGTTCATTCCAAAAATATTCAGTCGGAGTGAAAAAATGCGTTCTCTGCGTCTCCTTGCTTCATTTCCATGTCTCCTTCTTGCGACAATAACCGCTGCCATGTGTGCGCAATTACGCATACAGACCATTTGCACCTTCTTTTGAAACGTGTTAAATATAGAGTCAGATACCGTTAGCAAAATTGCTTTCAGGTTTAATAAATCACTTTGCGAGTGCTAAATTAATATATTTACATGATCTCCTCCCACAAGACGCACTTTTGCGTGTAAACGCCCCATATTGCATATTCATTGCAGAAAAAGTACTAAATGGATAAGAGGCGCTATTTAGCACGTTTTAAAGACCAAATCCTTTTAGCACGCTGTTGATAGATCAGTTTGTACATTTTTTTAGCTTTCGCGGTGAAATAGCTCACGTTTTTATACACGCAAACCTTTGATAGATCCGGCCCTGAATGTCTACAAAAATGGCCAGAGACCACTGTTATTTTATGCTTAGAAAAAGGGTAGCAGAACACCTCAGCTATAACCCTATTGGTAAAAGGTGTTGCAGGTATTATTAAAGGATGTTCAAAAACATCAGATTTTGCTTTTCTCTAATTGTGTTCTAACCTCCTTCAATTAATCCAGTTCCATGAAGTTTTTTTATATATTTTTATATCACAAATAAAAAGGTTTCAAGGAACTCTACGGAACAAATAGTCAACACAATCTAAGCATACTGAAAAACTGAAAGATAGGAGGTCAATCAACTTAACTCATCTGTGTCCAGGATGGCATGTTCCACCATCCGGGCTTCATGCACTCCCAGACATTTATTGTATAATAAAATCAGCCCAGCCACCAGCCAACCAACAATCACCTAGGATTTAAGCAGTGAGTGTAAGTTTCTCATTTCTCAACATTAATAATTTCCACCTGCATTTCAACAGCTGCCAATTGGACAAAGCTTGTGCCTGTTGGCAGAGACCATAAATCTAGTTTTTTTTTTTTTTTTTCAATTCAGCCTCGATGAACTCTGCTCAACAAAAAATCACAGGCCAGTTTGTCTTCTCCATTCTCCACAAACAAGGTGCACATCTTTGAAATTAAGCTTTCTCTTTATTTTTTATCCTATGGAACCTCATTTGACATAACACAAACATTTAAAATTTGTATCAAAGCATTTTAATTGGTACTCCATAAGAATATCCCAAGGGTAAACACTGATAAAATATTCATTTTTTGTGTTTACTATTAGCATCTTCTTATCTAACTTGTGTCTGGATAATTTAACCTGCAGGAAGAAGATATACTGGATCTGCTGGAGCAATGTGAGCTGGATGACGAGAAGCTGATGGGTAAATCCTCCAGGCAAAGAGGCCCAAAGGTGGGTGAACGGGAGAAATGTTGGGAGAAACCAAGTAGAGAGTGAACAGGGTACAGATGCCTCATGGGAGCTCAAAAAGTAGAAGAGTGCCACAGTGAAATGGAGAGATGTTCTCACACGCCTGGAGCTAACACTCTGAGGAAGCACATCGGACGTGGTTCAGAGAAATAAAAGGAGGTGGAATTCGGTGTGGGGTAGTTTTTTATCAACTTTTGGAAGAAAAGAAAGAATCAGAACGAGGCCCAAAAAGGGGACCAAATCCCTAGGGATACAGCTGTCAGCATCCTTCACCTACGCTCCCCTACCTGCACCCCCTTTCCTTCTCTCTTTCTGTCCATCATCATCTTCTTCTTCTACACTGTCATATCCACCTGTAAGACCCTTCAATTTCCCCCCATTCCTCCCTCTATCAAATTTCTCCACTCTCATCACATTTACTTCCCCATCCCTCTTTTTTTCCGGATGTGTACATCAATGCTCTCTCGAGGGCTAAATTGACTGGAACACTTGAGGAGTGTGTTAGGGAGCAGACGTTGAAGTTTAGCGCAATGTTTGTAAGGCCCGTGTCAAAATGATCAGACACTATCACTGTTGTCCAAATTAATTTGGGGCCCATCAGCTTCGATGTAGAATGTATGGAGAAAGACATCGATAACAGGGGGAAATAAAGTGCTGTGACGGAAAGATTCCCTCTCCAGGGTTAGCTGCTTACAAGCCATCTGGTGGAGCTGAACCAAGCAGAATGTGAAACAGTGCGACTAGAGGAGGTACAGACAGAATTCAAAGGAAAAACATGGCACCGATGTTTCTGTCAATGAAGAAAGTTAAGGCAGAAGGGAGATAAAGTTTAGAAGAATTATGGCAAGGGGTTCTTATATGCCTTCGTAATTGTATTTTGTTTCCTCTCCAAATGCTAAATTAGATTTACTGTTCTTACACTTGTGGCTGATATTCTCTTGTCCTTCGATTTTTGGTTTTCAAACAAAACTCAAAATTACATTAAAATCACCGACATTCAGTGAAAATGACCCAGAAGCGTTGTCGGCGCCATTTTTGTTGTTTTGTACACATTCTCGCGTGATTTGAAAAAGCCAGGTGATTTTCCGCCAGATGGCATGATTTTTGTCCACCTAGCGGTACTTTTGATGTAGTTACCAAAACAACAAACGGATGCATTTATTTTGTCAGGGAAAACTAATCCTGAGTCAGTTAAAAGTCAGGGAATTCTGAAATGATGTAAGACTGTGGAAACCCTGTATAAAATAACTGTATAATGATTCTCTAGAAAAGTCACATTATATTAATAGTATTATCCTGTATAAACATACTGTGACTCTAAAATAAAAGTTATTTATTTGTGACATTGACTTCTGTCTTGTGATTTATCTTACGTTTTTAACCTGTCAAGTTTTTTTTTTATAGATTTTTAACATTACAATTTTTATTTTTCCAAGCACACAACAGTTTAAGGCAAAGTTTAGTTTAAAAAAAGAATGTGCAGGAAGGATTGAAAAGCATGTTAACACTTTAATGTAGGCTTGAGTTCATCATCTGACGCATGCATATACACACCAGGAACCTGTAAACTTAAAAAATACTGAATTACAAAAAACATTTAAAAAACAAACATGTTTCATTGATATATATATATACAAAAATGAATATTAGGAACTATATTTATCAAACATTATACTGGGCAATTAAAAATTGTTTCTGGGCAAATGAAATGTGAAAGTCACTTGCCAGAAAGGCAAGTGGTAAAAATCTTTAATGTCAACCCCTGTACTGTCTTATCATGCACCCTTTTCATTCCTCCTTTACATGAAAATGTATCCTAACTTGTTCATTTTTATGTCTGCAACCTCTGTGCTACTTTTTCTTCTGTTGAGATTCTTCTTATCCCTCTGTATGTCTTATTCCCTAGACCTGATGTTCCAATCTCTCTCCCTTACTATATTCTCCTGTATTTAATCTATTTTTTGTACCCTGTTCTGTCTGTACCCTCCTCCATCACTCACCCACATGACTACCCAGAGGTGACTCTTTTAGACCTATGATCACCTCCTGCTTATTAATTCAGATGGACTCATAGTGAAGAACTGAATACAGGATGTAGAAAATCTTAATCATTGTAATCACAGTGACCCCTTTTAATGGCATCTAGTATATAAATGTTAAAATAAAATAAATATTTTCTGTTATGCATTACATTTAAACTTAAAAATAAGCACGTTTTCCCATTCATGTCTAATAGGACCTACATGCTGTCATAGAAACCTAGTTTTCTCAATAGCTTTATTCTACCCAGGCTTTTACATATTGTTTTTCCAAAAAGAATGGGTGCCAATCAGCATCTGTTGAATAAGTAAATCTTTCTTCCTTACTATACTCTTTCATATTAATTTTGATAATTGATGTTCAATGTTAAAATATATATATATAATGGCAGATATAATGATATGATGGCAGAGTCCAAAGAGAGGTACTAATTGTCTAACTAGATATTACACCAATGTCCTTGTGAGCATGAGATAGGGTTTTGGACTCAAGCTATCACTTAGTTCACATTTTGCTAATTTTTATTTTCTTTTTAATTTTATTTTTGCATATGGTACTGTTACGGCTGCAGTGGGTCTTTGCCATTTTTCCTTGTAGGGTTCAGGAGACAGTCCCTCTGCAGGTGTTCTGTTTTACCCTGATTGGCTCTCTGCTTCTTTAAGGCTGCTATTCATGCAGCAGAGAGGAGGCTTTTTCCTTTCCCTCCTCAAAACCCCATTTGGTTTGTATTTTATGGTTTGGTTTTGTTAGGTTTGTTTTGCTTACTTCTGGTTAGTTGTGGGTTTTTCATTATTCTATTTTGGTTTCTTATTTCAGGTATTCTCTTTTCAGGTTTTATTTCTTTAATATCATTTAATACATAATTTATATCATTTAAGAAAATCCTTGTGTGGTCTCCTTTAATATTACCCCACCAAACAAGCCTGGTGGACGTAACAGTACCTTGAAAAATCAGTGTATTATTGTTGGATTTTATGTGACAAAGCAGCATAAAGTAATTATGAAGTGCAGGGCAAACAATTTTTTGTAGCTTCTTTTTCTTCTAAGAAAGTAAATTCATTATGACATATGTGAAAGTACACGGCAAAACCAGCATTAGGTCTACCTGGGGTTGTTTTGAGATATTCAAAGATCCTGAAAGAGAGGAGTCCAGGCTTTCCAATGATGTCAAACTTGTGGAAGTTGGAAAATTACTGTTTTGGTGAACATCCTTAAATTAATAGAAATGTTTCTAGACGTGGGCGACTTCTAGAGGATTCCCTACAGATGGGTTATATCAAGCTGCAAAAGGAGTTTATTTTCATCTGAGTGGTTTAGTGTTACGTCATTATGCGTATTCTTCCAGCAAATAATTTGTATCAATTTATTTAAATTGTATTGCTCTTCTATAGTGAGCAACCTTTAGCTTCAATATTCACAATATTAGGTTTGTGATCTGAGTCTTTGCCTTAACCATAGACTATTTCACTTTGGTGTGAATTGTTTGTGCAGAGCTTGCATGGATTGCAAAACGCAATGGTGCGAAACAACATAAACTTTTCACATCTCCGTTACAGCCCTCCGTTACACTATTAGCCCTGTTGCAGCGAGCTATATGAATAAGTAGCCAAGTGTCTACTTCAAGCGCATAGTTTATTGGCTGACATAACAGATGCCTGAATGGAGCTGCACAAAACAATAATATCAATAAACTGCCGGTTTCCACCTTGATATGGAGATGCGGGATGGCTGTGTTAACATAAAGTTTGCAGTTTTAAAACATTGCAAACTGTAATTTATAGCACTGAGGGTTTGATCTTCAGAAGGTTTGTGCAAAGGGTGCTTAAACAGGTGCTTAAAATGCTTGAATTTTACTGTTATGTTTTTAAGGTAAAAAAAATGCTTGAATTTTGAGTCTAGTGCTTGTAAATGCTTGATATTGTACAGTAATCATAAATATATATATAAAAAATAAATAACAGACCAATCAGAGGACAGAGAATGATGACATTTAAGTGGGCCCTCCAGCTGGTCCAGTAGGGCAAATCTGAAATCTGATTGGTTGAAGAAAACCTTCCTCACGAATATTGTTAAGGTAAGATCAGCCAGCACTGGTCATGCCAAAGGCCCTGAGCAGATTTGATTGGCATAGCCACATAAAGAGGCGGAAATCTGATTTGACAAAAAATATTGCAACCACATAAATTTATTAGAAGAAGCACAGCCCATAGAAATACTGCAAAATTAAGAGAACTTGGATTGTTTGGGATAAATTAATACAGTTAGGTTGTGAATGTAGGTTAGTGTTCCTGATAGATTTTAGGCCAGCAGTGAAGGCCATAAAGGCCCTGACCACCCACCAGTGCATAATATACCATAGAAATAGTTTCAGTTTTATTGTAATCCAGTCAAACATTTAAGGGTCAGTCAGTGTATTTTCTATGTTGTTTTCCTATGTTTACTATGTGTGCTGATTGTCTGCTTTTTGCTCCTGCCAGCCCTTGACCGCCATGCCAGAATACAGACAGACACCAAGACGCCAACGACCAGACTACCTAGGTGACTTCACCAATGGCAGCAGTGCTGATAATTCCTGCCTGTCTTCCGATGAAGAGGAAGATGAGAGGAGGAAAGGAGGAGCAGGGAGAAGCAGAGAAAAGAGAAGCGAAAAGAAGGTTTCCTATGACCTCAGTGAGAGCAAGGAGAGGAATGTGGCTGAGCGTTCAGGTAGGGCAAAGGTGTTTGGCACAACCTTATTAGGAGAGGAATGTGTGTCCTCTGACAAGGTTCTTGTTTTCTGTTTTGTGTTTGCTAACTCGTCCGTTTATAACATGTGACAAAAAAGCAGTTACCAGGTACCATAAAGACCCCGAGAGACATGAAAAAAATATTAGTAAAAGAAGAAGTAAAAGATTTCAGGAGGAAAATCAAAACCCTTAGAGTGAACTAAGATCACTGTTACAAAAGGGCACTGCTGTTCTAGATTAAGCTGCAAGCTGCTTTGTTTGAAATAAAAAGTTTATGAATTTTAGGCTGATGAAGTCAAAAACTAAATCTACTGGTGCACAATCAAATAAACAGTTGGCAGTAAATAGGACAGTAATTACATGAAAAAGCACACAGTATGAATTAGCAGATAGACCTCACTGCAGCTAAGTGTTAAAGTTCATTTCCTACAGTTTTTCCAACATGACCAATTCTGACGGTACAGCTTATCTGTTTTGCTATATCCCATAACATCATCAAAAATAAAACATATCTGCAGATGTATGAGCTGACCTCTCTGTAGCACTGATATGAGTTATTGAATTAAAAGACCCAGAAACATGAAATTTATAAGTAAAACCTCCAGAAATAAAACTGAAAAAAACTTTTACTACCAACTAAATGTAACTGCCCAAACAAGTTGAAGCTATTATGACCTAAATCTCTGTCCTTTTGACACTGTATTGAACCTACAGTACATCTACTGTAAGGACAATCAGGGTCTGACATGGCCGTATTATGTTGCAATGAATAAAGCTAAGTTCATATAATCACTAATTTACAACCTGAAAATAAATTATTTATTTATTATTTATATTAAAAAAATTATCTCCTGGTCTTAAAATAAGGTGAAAAGATAAAAAAAATAACACTTTTTTATAGTTTTAAGCGTGCACTGTTTTTCATTGTGGACCATCATACCAGAAGTCCTACAAGCTGATCAGCTGCAACTTTGCTACCCCAAGTTATGCTTATATTTCTTTTCTGAAAAACTTTAACGTCGTTCTCCAAGGCTTAATTAGAACCAAAATCTGACTAATCTAGTCAAACAAATCTCATACAGCGTTTTGTTATACAATTGGAAAATTTTTTTGCCATCTCTGCCACAATAAGCGGAAGGTTCCGACAGTTTTTGTTGCATGCCAGTACTTAAAGTCGTAGGGAAGTCATATTTAAATTTCAAATCATTCTGGCTTAAACATGTATATATAATTGTATTCTTTATCAGACCATATTGTTCCAAAAGTTAGAAAATTTCTATTTTTTTTTTAATCCTGTCTTAAAATCTGTGTTTTTTTCCGTTATTTTATGCAGGCCAGTTAGTAATACGGCGGCTTGTACACCTAAATTTGGCCAATCATATATCCACGGCCATCTGTCAATCAAATTTTTTCGGTCATTGCATCCTGATTCATATGTCACAGCTAATAGAAGCAAAGGTTGAAATAAAAATTATTTACTTTACCATTGAGTTACGTCCCAGTGTTCAAGGGGATGGACATCTGTGTCTTCGGCAGGCGTAGAGCTACAGAACTGGCAGCATTGCGAGGCAAGGGCTCAAACATGTACGACTGTAAGCGTTCTACACCATACGGAGCTTCTGCTGCCCTGGTCTTCTTTCACAACATCTTTGTCCCCGCTTTCCTCCTCTAAATAAAATTGTATAACGGAGGAAACTCATCCAAAACCTCAGACACAAAACTCTCCTCCTCTTGCATGTTTCCGCTGTCCATAGCGTTCCTTGACAGTGTTGGTGCTAAGGGCTGCTTGGTCACAACCAAACATGCTTGCAAACCTTCCGCCACAACAATCCTGCCCCCTTGATAATCGACCAATCACAATCACTTTATTCCCCTGTGGGAATTTGGGCACCTTTTGGGAGAATTCGGAACTGCAACCGTTGAAACAGCCATTTCCCTACGACTTTAAGATCTGACTGTACATCTATCCTATCACGCAATGCTTAGCTACTCTTTTTTAAATTATATCATTGCCACATCTTAACATTAAACAGGGAGCTGTGAGGGTTTAGATGTTACTACCGAAGGTTGTTTTTAAAGATTGGCAGTTCTCTCTGATATTTTATTGATGTGAGAATTTTTTTTTTCTTCTGTTTTTGGATTGATCAGCTCCAAACTGTTTGGAAGTAACCTTATGGCTTTTTCTTGACTGACTGACAGAAACTTACTTTACAAAGATCATTGCTTAGATCCTCCCTCTGTTGATCTCACATTGACTACTTTACACAAAGGACTGCTAACATGTCTAACTTTTAAAGAAAGATTTTTCTTAAGGTTTGGGTCAAGAATGAATTATCTGCAACAGTTCACAGTTTCTATCTACCTTGACTGTTTTTTAATGTATTTATATCTCTCTCACTATATTTCTTTATCTGTCTCTCTCTTTTCATTATTTTCTCACCTCTCCAGTGTTTTTCAGAACTGCTTTTGTCTGACTTAGCATTTCAAACTAACATGGAAGCTTGGTTTGAAGAGGCCTTTTAAACAATCACAGTATGGATATAATCCTATTTTAACACAAATACTTTATTTGCTGTAGAAAAAACATTAATTCCAACAGTTACATTTTTGTGTACCAATTTAATTAAACTATCTTCTGTTGATAAAGGTTTACTAAATGAGCAGGTTATTTTAAAAAGAAGCTATATTTGGAAATTCAAGATATATGTGCAATAAACGTTTTTCTCAGGCCTGTTTTTAGTTGTCAACGAGCCAATGTTTGAATTACAATCCTGGAGATTAATATAATTCTATGTTGGCAGTTGCACCTTAGCCCTGCCAACGTGATTTCTATGTGTCACTATGTTTTTTAAGCATGGTTTCTTAGTTACTGTCTTACTTTTCTATCTTATTTTTTTTCAACACCTTCTCCTCCTACCACTAGTATTATGCTATCCCTCTGCATCATCTCCATGACTATAACTATCACTGAACCTCTTGTCTACCAATAACAATAAAAGCAACAATGATTAACATGCTGCAAAAACGATCTAGAACTGAGTAAAAATGTCTTAAATCAAGTTTATTTACCCTTAATTTTAGAAGGTAAGTAAGATGATTTGCCAGTGGAAGGAGTATTTTTACTCTTTATTTTTTTTGTTATTAAACATTTTGAAACTTCCCATTGTCCGACTCACCTTAAACACAGCCGAACAGGAACAGACGAGGTAAAGCTATTATGAGAAAAAGCATAGAAAGCATAGCATTAGAGATTGAACTAACAGATTCTGCAGAATGGGAGAATAGAGATAGATTGAAGCAGAATGATGAAAAAGGGGTCCCTGTGTCCTCCAGCAGTCTAAGCCTATAGAAGCATAACTCTAGAGATCGCTCAGGATAACCTGAGCCACTCTAACTATAAGCTTTATCAAAAAGGAAAGTTTTAAACCTACCCATAAAAGTAGACAGGGTGTCTTCCTCACGGACTAAAACTGGTAGTTGATTCCACAGGAGAAGAACCTGATAACTAAAAGATCTGCCATTCTACTTTTAGAAATTCTAAGAACCACTAGTAAACCTGCAGATTGAGAGCAAAGTGCTATGTTAGGAAGAAAGAGGAACAATCATATATCTAATATAAGATGGAGCTTGGCCATTTAAGGCTTTATATATGAGAAAGTGGATTTTAAATTATATTTTGGTTTCAATAGGAAGCCAATGAAGAAAAGCTAGGATGGGAGAGATATGATCTCTCTTTAATTTCCATCACAACTCTGGCTGCAGCATTTTGGATCAGCTGAAGGCTTTTAACTTCTGTTTGTTGAGTTCTTGATAGTAAAGAACTACAATAGTCCAGCCTTGAAGTAACAAATGGACTAGTTTCTTAGAATCAACCCTGGACAGGATATTTCAAAAATTTCCGCAGATGAAAGATGGAAATTTTAGAAACCTCTTTGACAAGAGATTTAAATGACAGGTCCTAATAAAAAAATAATAATAACACCAAGATTTCTTTTTGAGTTCACTAACAGACATTAGAGTGACTTTAGTCAGGTTTTGATGTGAACTTTAGAAGAAAGATCTGTGACCTTATCACCTTGCTTCATAGTTCAGACATATGGTAAACAGAGAGGATGGTTATCAGTCCAGTTTGAAAACAACCTATATTTGTTAAAAAAAAAAAAAAAAATAAAATACTGCAGCTCATCCAGTGTTTCTATCACTTTTGGGGAGCCTCATTCAACAGTTATAATTTTGCCATGTTTTTTAGGTTTAGGTTTAGTTTTTTTCTGAATGCCAGTGTCTTGCTATTGATTACTTATCTTATGTGACATTGTTTTTACATAATGCTGTGGGCTTTTCTCTAATCTTCCCATGACTGATACTGTTACCCAATTAACTCACTTTGATTCTCTCTTTGAGAACTACTGCTTTCCTCCGTCAACTCATTATATACACCTGCATTTTTGTCAGGCTCTCTGGGATGCTGTAGCTTATCATGATCTGTAATTGGGCAGGGTGTAGGTACACCCTGGACATGTGACCAGTACATCATAGAGCAGACTGCTTGTGTTCGGCTTGACCTGGATGACAAAGAATTTACTCAGGCATGAATAGGAGTGATTTTACTGAAAAAGAAGCAGAGAACCTTTGTAAAACACCTTGACAATTTCACAAGAGTTGTTGTTGAATCATACTGTTTTATAGCAATAATGATAAGCCTAATACTTTCCCTTCAGATAGCAAAATCACATGTGTCAACTAAGAAACAAAGCGAGAAAAGAGAGTACCTTGCATAGAAGGCACTGCATTGACCTTGGCTGAGAAATTCTCTGGTTGCATTGTGGGCTAAGTTATGGCACTAAGTGGGATGAGTCTTGGATTAACCCATTTAATTTGTCACAGAATAAGAAGTGAAATCATGAAAAATTAATTCACTGTGCAGAGAGAGACTGCAATCTTGCCAAGTCCCTCTCTATACCGAGCGACCAAAGGACTGCTACAACTAAGCCCCATAATACTCACAGTTGGCACTGACTAAACCTTGGGAGACAGTCAACAGTCATACAAACACACACAGAGAAATCCTTGTAAGATTTCTTTACAATGGACGCACACCATTACACTGGCCTATAGACAAGCTAGAATAGTGTCCCGGTTTATGAAAAGACTCAGAGGCTTTGACTTTAAGCTTTTAGCAAGCTTACACCTGTATCCTATGTTTCTGCTTCTGCTCCTTAATCTATCCCCAGACCAGACAAGAGCCAGATTTCAGCTAAGTTTCTGGGATTCCATACAAGAAACAGAATTGCTTCTAACACAAAAGCCCGACTGCTGGGTCAGTGTGTCACACTTCATCTCATGATGTATGCACCAACTGATCCATAGCAAACAAGAGAGCTTAAAAGCTTGACAGAGATATCATGAAAAACCCAGAGAATGAAAGGGAATTTTCTCAGGACAATCTTCTCTTTTTCTTCTGTTTTTTTATAGGTCGAATGCACTGGAAACCTCCAATCAAGCCTATCAGAACCCGCATTGCACCCTCTGTGTCCCCAACTCTTTCGGGTCCAATCAGACGTTCTATCTCTTGCCCTCGGTCCATTGCATCCCTTCCGTCACCCAGTGAGATGCGAGTATTGTCCATTAGGCCGTCTCCGCTGGCAATGCCTCTCGCCAGGCCAAGCTCCGCCACGCTTCGCTCACATTCGCTGAGCCGCAGTGGCTCCACCCAACGTGTGCCTCACAGCAGCAGCCTGGGCACCATCCACTCTAATTTAGTAGGATTTGCAACATTCCTTCATACAAACTTAATATCTGTTTGATTATAAAATATGCTGACTGACTTAAATAGACAAGCAAGGTTGGTGTAGCCCAACATAGTGACCTTTATATGTGCTCCTATTTTATATGTGAAGGTTTCCCGTGTTATCCCCTGATTCTCTGGATACTGTTGAATAAATCGAAACCGGGCTGAACAAACGCTAATAAATTGATAGTACTGGTCAGAAGCTTACATACAGCATACACATTGTGGGCATGAATGTTAGATTTTTCGGTTAGGTTTTGGCTTTTAAATTGCATTTGAACAATTTTTTGTTTTTAAGGAACCTAATAAACTATTAAAAATGCCAATTATTATTTGAAAAACTAATGCAGAGCACATTTGAATTGAATAGAGGCCCAGCTCCTCTATTTTTTCCTATAATTATGGTTTGAAATATTGAAACTTAATATTGCTTTACATTATGTTAAGGACTTCTCTAACTCCTGTATGATTGTATTCATTCTTAATGTATTTCATGAAGTGAGATAACATTTTGCCTTGACCTGTATGTAGTAGCAGTGTTGATTCAGAGCCCAAAGTGGGCTTTATGCATATTTTGTAGTTGTAATGTTTGGATTTATCCACTTAATGTTTAACACCTCTGGAATGGCATCAGCGTAATTTCTACTGAAGATTTGATTCGGCCTGGGTCGACCAATTTTAGATAAGCTCCCGGAGATCAGTGATCTTGTTAACGGCAAAAAAAAAACCTTGTTGTTTCTGTTAACCTTACTAAATACCAACGAACCCAACATTAACTAGGTGGTGTCTGTTTGAGCCTACATACACAACATTTATGTCAATAATCTGATTGTATCCTATTAGTCTTTTTAACTTGTTTGTTGACTTTTAGGGTGATCCCCTCATTAATCTGAGGACGAAGGAGCAGGAGGCTGAATTGGTGCGCCAGACCCTGTCGGCACTTACCGCAATGCGGATCAGGTTTCCTGGGAAAACTGAGGAGGAGGCTGAGGCAGTGCTAGATGAGGTGGGTATAAGCTTTACTATAGCTAGGTTGTTCATTTATGTGTTATTTTATGAAAAAAAAAAAAAATCATATTTTGGTATCAATATTGAGTAGTGAGTTCACCTCCTCACTGCACTTTACAATAGCCTGTCAGCTGTTCTTCTCCTCCACTGAAATGACCCCAGCAACAGCCTTTCTTTGGGCTGGCAATCCAATACTACTATTCCCCATCACACAATTCATTTATATCTGCAAGAAATCAACAGAGAAGCTATTACATATCTACTGTGGATATGAATGAAACTGACTGCAGATTTGATGTTTGCAAAGATAATTTTTGTATGTGATAAAACATCAGGTTTCCAGTTTTGGTTATTAATCCCATCACTTATAATTAAAGGAAATATTGAGGTTATTCTTTGATTTTGGTGGAAGTTTTAATCATTATTATTATTTAATCTGCTCAACGTTGTTTAAATCAGCCTATAAAAAATGCTATGCTTTGTTGAAATCCCATACAATAAGGCTACCAAGGAAACTAATCAGCTCCTCTTAAATTTGTGACAGAAAAGGCACATCCATAATGTAAAGGCAGTGTGAACTAGTCTATTGTGCTCTCTATTAACTGCCATTGCCCTTCTCAGTCTCTTGTGTCTGTGCCACCTTTCCAAAGGGCAGAATGGACAGAAACCAGACACACTTTCTTGACAAGGATAAGTGTCAAAAATACCACCAGGAAGCTGAGCTGCTTTGTCCTTTAAGGATGCATTTGAAATATTTGCAAAAAAGCACACCTGGGCTGGTTCAATTATTCCTCGGTGTCACATTCAAACAGATGTGTTACATCCTCTCCACTTGGCTAAAAAAAAATCTTATTCAAAGATAGAAGGCTAGATGTTGCAGTGACACAGAACAGGCATGAATCTTTAGAGCATAAGCATTTTAGAGTGAACTAGAAGACTGTTACTTATAAGTTTACTATTAAGGACTGACTTTTTCTTATGTCCTTTAAATTGGTTAACTATGTGTTTAGTAACGGCAAAAAATAAAAAACTCTTGCATTAGGTGAGCAGAACTCAGTGTTACAGCTCAAAGCTTATTTAAGGGTTTTTCTGATGCATATGCATCTTTTTCTGCACACCGTCTTCTTTCTTTTAACTGCCACTTAATATGTCTGTAGTCAGCTTCATTAACAACATTTTTTGGGACTCATCTTCCCTGTGAAGGGTACTAATGAAAGTCTACAGGACACCTGTTAAGTCAGCAGTCCTAATGATTCTGCAGTCTATGACATTTCTGCATGCCTTGGTTAAAAAGGAAATACATTTTTTGTTTTCAATGCATGTAAGCCATTAAAATCAAACTTAATGGAAATGAAGCTTGATATAGATTGCTCTTTGAAAAAAATTGTTTCACATTCTGATTCAGATATTAAGTAAACAAAAAGTATTTTTATGATCTTTCTTACTGAGATAAAATATCACTTTGTCTTGAATATGAATTCTGAACGCTTTCTCTGCACTGTATGCATATTTTCTTATTTCGTAAAACAAAAAGCAGAGAAATGTATTGTATCAGATTAATCAAATAATGTTTTCCTTGGCTTAACACTGACTTCAACGAGTTGGGATTTCCGGCGTTAAGCACCATGGAAACCGATGTGTTCACCTAGCTTTCTTTTTGTCATATCGTATTTTCCAAACTATAGAGCGCACCTCACTTTAAGCCTCACCCACCGATTTTTTTTTTTTTAAACTGGAAACTTACATAAATAAACAGCCCTGGACTGTAAGCCATTGATATCTACTGAACTGTAGATATCAAACCTGTAGGGGGAGCTCTACATGTCACCACTAGAGTAGGGAAGAAGAAGAATGCTAGCTCCTGTTAGCTTGCTGGCTCGCAGCAATAAGAGCTTTTACAGAAATATGAGGCTTCGTCAGATCTTTATTTCAGCTCTACAGGAGTTGAGCCCAGTCTCTTAATTGGTTCGGCAGCTTTAATGAGGCAAATAAATGTCAAAATATATGAATTTGGGACATTTGTTCTCCACTGTGCCTGGTGCTAGCTTGTTCTTGTGCTAAATGAAAATTAGCCCCCTCTGGTGGTTAGGAAAAATCCCCAGAAAAGCTGCACCTTCTTATAAGCGGCATGGTTCAAAGCCCGGCATAAAAGGAGCAGCTTATAGTCCGGTAAATACGGTAGTTAAAAGTTCAAGTTTTAATTGGGCTTAATACATGTTTGTATCTGAGTAAATTGCCTTAATCTTTTGCTTAATACCTTCGTCTTTTGTTGCACACATGGAAACAGAGAGAAGTTTCACACTTGTTTTTGTACTACAGTCTGTACCTACAGAATTTTCAGATATTTGAAACCCAATCATACTTGTGTATGAGAACCTAAAGGTAGATTGCTTTCCACTGTGAGCTATCTTTACAGAGAATCTTGTACCATCAACTCAATAACAGCAGCATTGGGTGAAAGAACAGAGTCATTCTGGTGCTGCAAGGAAGCAAATTAGAATAATCCAACATAAAAACAAAACATGCTTCTTTTAGTATAGCTCTTATAAATAGGATTTATTTTCTGAGCTTTCAGCATTTCAAAGAACTTTTGTTATGAGATTCACAAATACTAATGTGAAAAAAAATTGAACTCTGATGCCAGGAGAGAATTAGACAAGTATATATCAATAAAGGTTCAATGCTGTCTTTAATTAGGCGCAAGAGGACAGGACCCTGAGAGCCCTAACAGCAAGATAACACTACACATTGTAATATGCAGCATTAAACAGTCTGTTGTAAAGATGGAACTCTATCATAATGAGGACCAATTTGAGGGATGGGTGAAACGATTAGATTATTCATTCATATAGACTCCTTAGTCCATGCATCCTCCAATCCATCACAAATAGAAGCTTTTCCACTCAGTGAGGTTAATCTTTACCAACTCTGTTGCACTGCAGCTTGATGCAAAGCTCCCCTCTGTCATCCATAAGATATATGGAATGAGTCTTGTTTTGACGGATGACAAAATAATGCACCAATCTCTGAAAACCAGATGAGCTTCACAGGAAGTCAGACATGGGGAGAGTAAAGCGATTCTGATCAATTTCAAAATAAGAGGCAATCCACGGAGGGGTCCTGCATACTGTACATAAAGGACTGCTGTTCTGCAACATTATGCAGTCAATGACTTCTTCAGGGAGATACTAACCTAGCGACACTGCAGATTTCAGGACGTGATAGGTTTTTTGGAATGAGTCCATCAATAAATGGATGACTATCATTTTTCTAAAAAGGTGAATGTTTTTTATTTTGTTGTTGATGTTTAGCTTTCTTTAACCTAATATGTTAAATTAGTTTCTCCTCATTTTTCTCTACTTTCTCTTCTGACATGTAACCATAAGTCTCTACCAACTATGTATTTACATCTCATAAAATGGTCTTTGATAAAATATCTCCTTTTTTGCCGCAGACATTTAAAACGCTCTAACACTCATACTCCCTACACAGATTCTTGACAACTGGAAGTACCATAAATCAAAAGTGGCATCTTATTGGCTGGTGAAGTTGGACTCAACCAAACAGAGGAAGGTGAGTCTTCAAAGCGCAATCCAAGCTTCAGTATACCTCCGCTTGAGTTAGATACAGTACATTTCAATTCATTTATTTCGTATATACATACAGTGCCTTGCAAAAGTATCACTCCGGGACAGTTAATGTAACTTTCATAAAAGAAGATGCTCACGCCAATACTGCTGAACATGGGATGGATAAGGAAGGATTTTACATGCAGTTTTTAGGAGGGCTAATGGTTTATTTGCATGGACAGGTTTCTGGTAGAAGAGACTATTTTTTTTTTTACTAGTCCATTGGAGTCTGAGTCATCTGAGGAAGTACATCCGCCACTGAAATGTAGAAACCAGAATGTCAAAGTGTTTATTCTAAAACCCATGTTGTCTGAGAAACCTGAAGGAGCCCACTTGACTGACCATGGATTGATAAACTCGGGCTGTAGTCACCAAAGTCTTTAGGGTCAAACAACTGAGATTATCAATTGAACATTGGAGAATGAATTTGCAGGACATCTACTAGGTTTGTAGTCCTAAAATGCTGATGATAGGATGGTAGTTTTAAAAGAAAACCATTAGAGCCCCCAGTTAAAACTCCACCTATGCATCCAGTTTCTTCAGTTTTTTTCTGAGAGCAATGGGCAAGTTGGCAAATACTGGTTTTGGTATAGGAACCCAGTCATTCCTCTCCCTGGTGACCTTCTGCAGCTCATTATAAGTGATCACAAGTCATTCCTAGGCCAGAAGGGATACAGTCCCTCCAGCAAAACTCGGGTCTGCTTCAGGGCCTTATCCCACTGGGACATGACTGGAAAACACCTAGACACCCAGGAGGGATCCTGATCACATGTTCAAAACACCTCAATTGAACCCTTTGATGCAAAGGTGCAGCAACTCTACTCGGATCTTTCTTCAGAAGACAGAGCTTTCTGTCCTATCTATAAAGCTGAGTACAGTCCACCTTAGAGGAAAGTTTATGTATAGTCACTTGTTTCCAGATTATTATTTCTTGCTCAGAACCTCTATCTAGAGACCATTAATCAGGGTTGGGACACAGACTGGAAAGATGGTGTATTACTGCTTAGGAGGCCCCAATCTGCCTGCCCATCTCTCCACAACTCATGAACATGACATCAAGATATTTTACTGCTCTTCTTTAGGCAGAGTGTCCCTAATCTAAAGTAAATAGAACCATAGTTCATGCTGTCTGCTTTACAAGCGGACAGATCTCACATGGAGGGCAATCTCCTAGAGACTTTTAAAATCTTGTTAAAGTTCGCTTTTAATCAAGACAGCGAACAATTCAATTAAAATCTGAAGTAATTTAGCACAAGAAATAAATCCAAAGGATAATTTATAACAGGTCCTGGATTTGATCAACTAAACTGCTTTGGAAATGTAGCAAAAGTTAGAAGAAACATGGGAAACAAAAGGAAGGAACTACTTTTGAAAATATAATACTGAATATAGTAAAACATTTCAAAAACAGGTTGCCCGCCAACATTTTTACAGACATTGAATGTCTTTACCTTTTCTTTAAAGGTTAAAGAAAATCATTAGAAACATGCTTTTAGTAATTTTTTTTATTTGCATTTTTTAGAGCAATAATTTGGTGTCTCCATCCATTTGGGCAGTAAAAACGTCCTAATTAACCCTTGTGTTGTTTATGTACATCACTTAATAAAACCAATATGACTGTCATTGTTTACAAATCTGAATTAGTAGGATATAAAATTATATTATGATTTTATGAAAAAAGTAAAAATTTGAATAAAATGAATATTTTATAATCTCTTTACATGTGTCCTGGAAAATTATTTCAAAGATTAGTAGAGTTTTGAGCAAGTTTCAATTTTTACTTTTGGTGAATACATGTGTGAAAATGTTTTTCGGGGAAAAACTTTCAGTTTTGTGTTGGAGGATGAAAGGAAGAGGTTTATTTTGAACCCTGTCTCAGAAACATTTCTCTGAAATAATGCTTCATTTTTTTATGTTAGGTCTGAAAGAGTTAAACATGGGACACATTTATCTTTCAGCCACAATTCACCAAGATAATGCCTTTTTTATGTTAGGTCTAAAAGTGTTAAAAATGGGGCCCATTTATCTTTTGACATCTGTATAAATGGCCTTTGCTGTCAGGACTCCTATACTGTCGCCCTGTGCAGAATGGACGTTGTTAAAACCACCCAACATGACAAAATGTCATGGCGCCTACCTATTTCTTTGAAAGCTTTTCAACAACTTTTAAAAACCACAAAACATAATCCCCAAATCAAACTTTAGAGAAAAGGGAAGAAAAAAGAAACATGACAAGCATGAACATCATTACCATGTCAGACCACGGGAGGTAGATTCACCCCAAAAAAGATGTAAACAAAACAGAAGAGGGGACAAGCCGTGAAATGGCATCCGGTAGGCGTGTCAATAATGATGTGATCTCTCAGCCTTTGCTTTGTGATCCACTGTGCTCAGCTGTGGGCCTCGGTGGCGTGAGCTCATGTTTATTTGGAGTGAAGCAGCCTAATGAGCAGCAGGCAGAGGTCAGGAACGTGGCACCCACTGCTCTGCCGTCTGATTACCATACCAAAACATATCTGTGTGTTTACTCATCTATCAGTTTGTCTGAGAGCGCATGCATGCCCTGCTCGCCTCATGCTGCTGTGGGGAAATCTCACTACTTTTGCATCGAAAACAAACACACATCGTGCGGATGCACAGACGGACAAGCACTTCAGTAATGAGGAGCAAGGAATCAAAGTCAAAAGAGCCTCAGCACTGCTCTGAGCTGGGATGAAAAGGGGAGGAAAAGGGAAAAAGAGAATGTTGTGAGGTGGGAAGGAATAGGAAAAAGGAAGAGGGGAAGATGGAAGCCTGGCGCAGGTGTCTGCAGACCGCCCAGGAACTTCTGACACCTTATCTCCAAGACTGACATCGGTGCAGCAATTAGTCCTCTCCCAGGCTCTCCACTATATGCCCCAATGGTTTTTTTGTCCTGCCTGTAGCTCAGCCGCATACACAAAAAGGAGACATTGGCTTCATATCTTTGCATGAACACTTCTATGAAAGCAGTGACAAAACTGCTCACATAGTCATTAGAGAGTGTAAATTTTTGTTAAAGCTTTGCTCCTGTTTGTGTTTTTGAATTTGTATTTTTCACTGAAGTTATTCATAAATGCAAGCTTGCTCTTTGTTGGTGAGCAAATTTGAGAGCCGTGATTGGTAAAATTATGGTGTGATCAACGGGGAAGAAAAACCAGGAGAAATTAGAATAGGAAGAAATGCCAAGTTCTGCATATAAATAAGAAACACCTTCATCTACTTTACAAAAAAAAACAACTCTCTTGTTAGTACAACTCTGAACTTAAAGTGACATTTTTTCTTCATTTCACATTCACTTCCTGGCTGCCTCAGGTGTTGGACATCGTTCGCACAAATGTCCGCTCAGCGCTGCAGCGGATCTGGAGGGAGCCCGATGTAGAGAGCCTGCACCTCTATCGGCTTTTTAACCGCATCTTCAACCGATTGTTGTGGAGTCACGGCCAGGGACTTTGGAACTGCTTCTCCAACACCGGGTAGGCCGGTCTGAGCTGTGTCTTTTAACGAGCTTCACTCAAATTGACAGAGAGGCAAAGTCTTAAAATGATACTGAGAAAAACAATATTTCAAATACGCCACCATTCGAAGTTATTGGCCTTTCTGGTTAAAAGCTTTAAATCATTTTCCTCTTACTTTATCACACAGGAAAAATATTCTTTTAATTTCAGTATTATTTTTCAATTCAAGGGGGAAATTCTCTTTTAGAAGTCAAATGTTCATCTGTTAGTTTTCTCAGATTACCAATCTCTGTCAAATAGAGAATACAATATAGGGAATAGAATATTTTTGTTACTCATCTTTTTGCTCACTTTACAAGTTTTTTTTCTATGATTAAAGCCTGGGGACTGTTGATTTTGATTCTAGTGAACCACTTCTGTTTTTATTTAATATCCATTTTAATACAGCAAAAGGGAGGATCCTCCAACATACTTAACAGTGGCCCTTTAATATACATCCATCCTTTGTTTCACTCTACACTCACCTTTTAAAGCAAACAGTTTGAATTGGAATTAAAGTTGCATTTTAAAAACTCAGCACATTTGGCATGGTAAGACAGAAAAAGCTTTTTCTTGGCATGCAAATGGTGAGGAATAGTTGTTATGGAGATTTACAGTAGTCCTTAAAATTCCAGTTTTGCAGTGAGTTTTGGATACCTTTTTACATCTCAGGTTTTTCAAAACTTTTAAAACACACTCTGGCTTCAGATAAGCAGATCTGAGTTCATTTAGACGACTATGTATTTTCTTGTTCTTTATTTACAAATTGCCTCTTAAAAGTCTGAAGATCCCTCATAACCCAAACTGCACATTCTCTTGATTTACCCAATTTTATAGTGAATGAGAGAAAAGATTTCCTGTGTCACATTCTATTAATATTAAAAGAAAACAGAGAATCCTGAAGTGCTTAAAAAATTAAACTTTAACCTATGCATTACAAAAAGCGCCTGTTTCATTTTTTTGTAGATATGATATAAACTGTTTGTGATATTATCCCGAAAGGGTGTATACTCTGTTATTTAGTTTGAAGATGCAACAAAAAGAAAAAGAGAGCAAATATCAAAACCCATGAGTGGATTCTAATCCCTTGCAGTCAACAGAACAAGTGTCTGCACTCCTAGCAATTACCACTTTATTCATTGCACCTCTCCTTCATCTCCATGTCTAGAGGCTCATACGCCACAAATGTTCCCCATGCCCTCCATTCATCAATAAACTAGTTTATACTGACAGCAGGGACAATTTGGCATTTCCAGTCAGTGTGACTTAAGAAAGAAAATGCTGGCTGAAAGATGGAGATGTAGAGTGAGTGACAGATTGAGCAGACCCCGCTGCACTTTCCCCACCTAATCAGGGCTTATTCACAGGTGAGAGCAGGAAGAGAGAGAAGAGGAGGGATGGAATTGGCTATGAATAAAAAAAAGGCCTCTTAGGTTCAACTGTCATCATAAACTTTGAAGTTTTCTTGTAGTTTATTTTATTAAAACAGTATTTACATAAATTAAAATAGTGCTTCCCCTTTTTAACACGTTTTATCTTCCAGTTGTTGTTTTCTCAACACTAACTTTACGCTAACTAACTTTTTTTTTCTTAACAAAGAGGCTTTAGAGCAGTTTTAATCATCTTGAACCCAGACTCAAAAATGCCTCCCTGATATATAGACAGCTGCCCAACTGCTGGCTTTTCGTCTCCTTTGGGATAAAGGTGTGACCTTCTCATGTCTCCTCCTCCTCATATTCTTTACAATTCAGTTGTTCGGTGGCGTGTTCCCCCTGGCACAGAGGGCTCAGGGGGGTAACTCGAGTTGCCTTTCACAGCTCTCCACTCTGCTCTCCTGCTTCCTTCAGAGTACTAATTGAGGGTGAGGGTGGAGGGGAGCAAGCAGGTGACAAAGATGGAGTGGTGGATAAGTGAAGATGGAGAAAAAGACTGACTTAGTGACTGGGAGAATTTGGAAAGTGATTAAAAGGAGACTTTGTTTGCAATGGCAGGGATTGGGTGGAGGGATATTAGCCTGCAGAGATTAGCTTATCCAAGGCTGAATCTCCCCCAGTTTTGTCTTTGTCTGATCACAGCATGGCCCTGGTGATCCAGGCAGCTCTCTAGCCTATTGCCTGCCCCCCTACCTTCATCCAGGCACGCCCTAACATGGATAAACCCAACAGGGGGCTCCGTATCATGCAGAGACAGTGAGGCGGTTACCGCTCCAAAAGCACCCCTCTTAAATCCAGGGTGAAGACCTCCTCCTTGCTCCTCTCTGTCTCTTGTTTGATATTTTATCTGAGGGACTTAACAAAAATCAAACGACCCAGCAGCTATTGTGGGAAATGAATTCAACAGGCTTTTAAGAAGGACTTAGGAGGAGGAGAATGGAAATGCACACAGTTTTGAGGCCTTTCAGAGGAAGCACGTCCCACCTCCCAAGGAGCTAAAAGAGAAGACATGAAAACTGCCCCCTGGGGTTGTCTGTCTCAGTTGCTGAAAGTCTCTCACAGTCAGGGGTATGTCCCGGATTGTTAGCAGGGTTAACTGTACTTGGATTTGTTTCATTTCTCCTCCGGGTTTTTACACGTTTTTGTTGATTTTTAGAGTTTATGCAGATGCGTTTGTACTCATCTACAGCAAGAACACGAATATGTGAAATCATATAACATACAACAATGACTTATAAGCGTGATGTTTGTTTCTTGTGTCCTAACTCTGAGTTTTCCTCTCCAGCTCATCGTGGGAGGCCATCTTTAGTAAAAGCAGTGAGTTGGTTTCACCCCAGGAGCTGCAGTGCTGCCGCCGACTCGTCCAGCTGTGCCGAGACTGCCTGTTGGTCGTTTACAAGTTTGTCTCAGAGTCACGTGGCTCTTTGACGGGACTCAGTCCTGAATGGGACGACACAAGGTAAATAGGGCTTTCAAATGTTTTTATCTCTCATTTGTACTTTTCAAAGTCATTGTGGATGTTTCTGCTGCCATGAAGATTTGGAAAACATCCCAGGAAACAATATGAGTCATTCAGTCCCCCATGTCTGTGCAACACATGTAGGGTTGAAATTAGTATTCACTGTTTTAAAGCCAACCAGGTTTATCTTTGTTGCCCAGTTTATAGAGTCTGTTGGAAAAATCTGTTGGTAAGATAACTGTTAATCAGGCTCTTAAATCTGGCAGAAAGCTTTTGTTAAAACCTCCCATAAAAACAATCCATGTAGCAGAAATTGAAACCTTGTAATAAGATGCTCTTATCAGGCACTTTACATACATCATACAGTCAGATTGGTTCAACATACTGAACTCTATCTTTTAAAGATCAATGTGTTCAGTTTGCAGGTGAATGAAGTGCAATGCTGAGGCTGAACATGAAATAAGTACATGCAAAATTAATGAAACTATACTTAGCACATTGGGAAGCTATCACAAATCAAAAAGACAGTTCATGTTAACAGCAGTGATTGTACAACAAAGTGATGTTAGTTCCGTGTATTTAGCCCCACTGCACAATCCAAAACATGACATCACAAGACAATTCACAGATACCCTGCTCATTAGCCTGAATCTTGCAGGTGGTTTTAATACTTTGGCTGAAAAGCATGTAAAAAATAAATCACATAATAAACACAACACAGAGGCAATGAAGGGAGAACGCCACAGTGCTAAACATGTGTAAAGACAACAACCTTGATGAATATTTATTTTGGTATTTTAATCTGATATTTAGGTCAAAGTGGAGTGTTAATTAAAGCGGTCGAAAACTCCACAACTGCCAAGTAATAAATTCCCTTTAGAAAGCACTGACAAACACAGCACTGCGATACAGCTATCATCATTAAACCTCTTTCAGGCAACATTTCCACTTCCCCCACCCCCCTCTCCGAAGCCTCGCAGCCATCATCTTCTTCATGCAGCCCCCGATAAAACAAACAAGCAAAAATCAGCCTCCTTCTATTTTTAACACGGATCGCCACAGGGGACAGCAGCTCAGGTTTGAAATGAGTGAACTTTTAAATCACACATGCTGTGTGACGGGCCCCGTCAGCCGAGTTGGGAGCAGCGAGAGAGAGGGAGCGTGCCGTTAACAGCAAATAATGGCCCACAGATTAGCGCTCAGGTTAGCCCGCGGCCCCTGGAGGCCTTCTTAATTCAATTAGAGCCCAGATGAGTCTGAGCAGCAAATGACCTTACGAAAGAGAGCTTTTTTTTTTTTTTTCCTGCGGCCTCTCTTTACATGATTCATAAGCCCTGCACATATTTTAACAAGCTATCACATTGCTTCTACTGTTAAAAAAAATCGTAGCTGTTAAACGGCATGTGGTGTTTTTATGCTTTATCTCTTGTGACGTTTTGCAGTTTGCTCTACAGTTTTTCGAGTATGTGAATGCAAAGATGTTTGCAATTTAATCTGATCATGCTCAGAACCACAAGTTTGCTGAAGGTATCCTTTCGGATAGCTTTAAGCTTGCATATGTCTGTCTCTCCTTATTTCCTCTGTCTATATATCTCTGTATAAAAAAGCTTTCCATTCGCTACTGGACCAACCTCCACCCATGGCTCCCCTCCTGCTGCTGTTGCTGCCGCTTCCTCTACCTCCTCTTCTTCCGTCTCTTCGCCCCTCAACTCAGGTCTCTGCTTGTTTTAGTTCCCCCCCTCCATCGTGTAACAATGTCTTCTCTCACTGCTTTCTTTTGGTGCCACCACCTCACCAGTTGAATTAAAGGCCTGATCCAACTTGCCCGAAGATGGTTGCTTTGGCTGCAGAACCAACGGTCTGGCATGATGTCCTTCTTCTTTTACTAGCATAAAAACGGCCATATTGAGATTATAACAGCATGATTATTATTGCTCTCATTACTTAAAACTTTAGAAAGTATTCCAAAGGATTAAAAAGGAGAAGAAATCACATTCAGACTGTTTGGAGCACTTTTGGTCAACACTGCAAACATTCTGCCCGTTTGCAGCATATCACTGAAGTGCCGCCTCCTCTTTCACACAATGCTTTAATCACGAGCATTCTACTGTAGCCTGAGTATGGATAAGTGCCTCAGTGGGAACTGAGAGCTTCACCTGCAAAGCATTCATGCCATGATCAACCCGAGCACCACTTTCTTCTTGTCACAGGATGACAGGGGAAAAAAAAGTTTGGTTTACACCGTGTGGTTTGGAGTTCTACAGCACAAGTGGTTTCCATCTCTCCATCAGGCATGCAAAGGGCCGCACACAAGTCACTGCCACCACTTGAAATGGCTGAGAAGCAATAAGGATTTTATTTTCTCATCTATGCATATGCATAACATGACAGGCTTAACTATGTGGATGTGAGAGTGTATTGGTGTGCATGCTTGATGTCCTTTGCCATGAGCCAACAGTGATTCTTCTCTCTAGAAACTCAAATAGACCTCTTGAGCTGTTTTACGTCCAAAAGATCAAGTGGTGTCCATATAAGAGCTCTGAAACCATATTTTCCCTCATGTTCTTCTGTAGAAAGTATGGATTATAAGGGCTCACGCTGCTTTTACATTGAAATTTACACAAATTAAGCCACAGACATAAATAACCAAGCACTAATCACATCATGTTAATCTGAGTTGGGGTTCTGAACCTTCTAAAAGGTTGTTCTGGAGAAGATAGAAAAGGGACAACAGTGCTTTTTTTATATCAACATGAATCGTCTTTCATCTTTTCCTGCTAAAACATGATAATACACAAATAAAGCAGTAATTTACCTTGCAAGGCATTAACCTTGTTAGTTAGTTGGTCTTCTTAGAGGCCCTTTTTTCATGCCTAACTTTCAGCAACAGGAAGCAGGGATTTAAATCTCTGAGGTAAACAGTCACATTCATTCCAAGGGCAGCATTTGTATCATTTTCTTTTATTCAATAACTTAAAAGTTTAAACCAAACCATAGCAAAGTTATGCATCAATGAAAATAGTTTGGATGATGGGGAGCAACTATTACTGCTCTCTAGTAAAGGTTGAGATTCCTCTCAAAATGCAAAGATCAGAACATCAGAGTTCTTATGACAGCTGCTAATGTTCAATCAACATTACTTTAATTGTTTATAGGCACAAAATACCACATAGAACACTGCTTTTGCCATTGTTATGGTTGTAACACTGACTTTATACAAACAATGTGGAGCATGAGTGACTGGGACCCTTTCAACTTGGGGATTTCTTCACTCTGACTTGCCAGATCCAAGGCCAATGGAAAGCAGCATAAACTGCGACTTAGAATGATGAAATGTGATGCCTTATTTTACTTACATTAAAAAACAGACCTCTGGCCAGGTGTTATAATGTGAAGCTGCAACATTAATCTGAACTCCCAGATACAATAGATGGTGGACGCAGCGTCATGGTGTAGGTCTGCTTTTTGTCAGAGGAGACAGTGAAGCTAGTCTGAGTCGATTAGAAGAAACAAGCTAATGTCGGAGACCGGGATGTTGGGGTTCACGTTCCTCCTAGACGGTGACCTGATCACACAACCTGAGCTAAACTTGAATATAGATTTTTACTGTTGCTTTACAGTATGACCAAACCGTTTGGCTGTTAGTCCAAATGGAATTTAAACTTTTCCTGGGTGTAGTAGACTCTGGGATTACTTCTGTCCTTCCTCACATGTATCCAATCTGCGGCAAACAGATAAGCTCTCCCGTTTTCAGCATCCGGTGTGGGTCAAGGTTTGTCTATTAGTTGGGGTCCTCGGGTTTCCATCAATGGCCACACCTGCTTTTCTCAATTCAAACAGACCCCTTTTCTGTGAAGAGCTCTGATCAAGTGTGTCAAAAGCCTCATGAGCTGGAGGACCCTCAGTGGGCCTGTGTGGGCTGATGAGAGGAAGTAGCCAAATAGCCTTACTAACGACTTTCTTGTTAAGCCTTGAATTGCTGCCAATACCAAAAGACAATTTTCTCATCATGACAAAAGTTCTCAAATTCTATTAACTTTCATTTGTCTGAACAGTGTGACAGTAATTGGAGCTAATTGAGGTGTCAAGCTCAAAGTAGGCAGCGATAACCTTCAAGCCTCTTTATGCCTCTTGGTTTATGATTACATCAGCTATCGTTGGAGTCGCCTCCTCTATCCTTAGTCACAGTATTTTGTTTTCGCTGGTCTTCTCCTAATTCACTGTGGCAGTTACCTCTCAGCAGATGACTAGACTGGCCTGTCAGGAGATGTGGTATCTTGCATCAACCGATCATGCTCATCTGTCTCCGTGATGGATTCAAACATAGGCACAAGTGCATGGACAAGCCTCCCCAACTGTTTTTTGAGTGCATATGTAGTAGCCAAGACCCTCTTCCTGATCAAAACGAGGACAGACCTGGAAGATGCTGAATGAGGGTCCAATTAAATGTAGCCTGCAGAGACAGCAGTGCGGACGTGAGAAGCACCCCGCCCGCCTGCCTTCCCTACATCTCAGCACAGACAGAATGATTCTTTTTATAAGCTGAATATTCTCAAAGTGAATTCCAGAGGATCTGCATTGAACACACACTCAGCCTCACATAGATCTTCAATATTCTTTCTTTCTTTCTTTCTTTCTTTCCTTCTTTCCTTCTTTCCTTCCTTCCTTCCTTCCTTCCTTCCTTCCTGAAGTGAGTAACGCGACAGAATATGTGGAGCTGAGGGAAGATAAAAACCAAAGATTCAAAAATTCCATTGACATTTAAATCTCGGTATGAAATAATTTATCACAGGTTAAAAATGCAGCTTAGGACACATACTAAATAGATATATGAAAGGCTAAAAGCAGAGCTTGCCCACCTCTCCGGGGCTTGAGTGGAGAACTTTAAGAACAAGTGTCACACTGAGCAATTGTTCACCAGGTCTGGGCATTGACGAAGACCATGTGCTTGAGGAATCCACACAAGCCACTTGAAGCTATTTCAAGGACACTCTCATTGGACTAAATCAATTTAATATGAATCCTCTTCTAACTCTCTTGGGTTTGAGGCTGTGTTGAAATGAATGCCCTCAGCGACATTTTTCTTTTTTTTCCCCCCTCCTCTTCTTCCTCTTATTCTTATTCTATCCAGTCGACTTTGGGAGAAGCTGCTCAGTTAATTTGTCCAAGAGCTATTTCACAAGAACCGAGAGCTGTCAGAGAAAAATGTGCTATCGCTACACATGCTTTAAAGAAGATATTATTCCTCTGCTTTAATCCTCAGCCCCAGTGGGTTCCTTTTGATTAGATTGTCACTTCTTAAACACTTCCACAGGGAACTCTTCTTGTGACCATTGTACTTGTTTAACTAAATGAGCATTAAATGTATTTTTTATTAAATAAAGATCCTCTCTGAAGATGTAAAAAATAGGGTCACTGAATGTATAATTTATTGATATAAGTCTTCTGGAGAGGCTCGTAAATTTAAATCACTGCTAATACTGAACGGAGGGAAAGAATTTTTTAAAACTTCCCATCTCAAGTGTTTTAAGCAAGTTACGGCAATATTTGCTTAAGCTTCAGTTAACCTTGCTCAGGATCTGATCACCTTATTTGACATTGATCTGACTGCCGCAGGAGACTCATTTAAAGTAACAAAGTCAGATGGTAGAAGGTTCCATAACCTGCGCCCCCTCCTCCCCGCCCCCAGAACTCCTTGGCTCTATCTCAACCTGACACTGGTCTCATTCTCAGGTACTGGAACGCTGTTAGCAGGAGCTGCCTCACTGCTCTGTCTCGGTGGAAGGTGTCATAGAAAAGTCTTAGAAAGGTACTGACGTCTGTGCCTCGGAACGATAGGTGAGGATTTTTCTGCTCTTGATACTAGAAACTTTAAGGGTCAAATTATGGAAAAAATAGAAAATAGACTGCACTGAAAGACAGCATAGGATCTCAGTTTAATACTCCTACATGCATAATCAAAACAGCTGTTTTGATCTCGCTGCAGAAGTGTGCTCTCTTACCATGACATAGTCTATATGTAGGATTTTTTTTTTTTTATTTAAGATACTGAAAATTTTTTAACACCAAAAGCAAAACCTTGCAGTACACAACTGTAAAATATAATTTGTTCCTTAAAGATTTCTTCCATATGTTTCATGTTTCGGCAGCATTTGTTTTTATATCAGATAACCTATATCAAGTGATGATTACTTTTTTTGTAAATGAAATAAGCTGATATTAACCAGATCCAAAAGCAAAACATCTAAAGAAATTCAAGCACAGATGAGAAACAAAGCCTTTGACATTTATCAGTCTGGAAAAGGTTACAAGAGGATTTCTAAGGCTTTGCTTTGAACATAGGAAGAGCTTTTGTTAATAAATGGTGAGATACTGGAGCAGCAGTGAAATTATCCAGAAAATTTCTGGCCTGCTGAAAGAACTAATCCATATGTGCATCAAGGATTTTCCCAGTAAGACACAAACAAACCAGACACCTCAGTTACAATCAGTGTTTATGTTTGAACAATGAAAATAACACTGAGAAAAAACTGCATCAATTTAAGAGCTTGAACTCTAAAACCACTGCTTAACAAAATAAAAAATAAAAAACACACCAGTGCTCTATCTGTATGACCCTCAAAACACTTATCCAAGCACACTTGGGTCAGAGGTAACATGAATTAAATCAAATTCTGTAGTAAGATCTTGAACTTTCAGACAGTCCCTTTATTAGAAAAAATAAATAAATCTGTAAGAGTATCTCTGTAAAAAAAAATGTATTGCCATAATTCAACTAAAAGGATTTAAGAGAAATGCCTTTTAGTCTTTGTAAATGCTTGATTGCTTTTTTTGAAACCAGTTATATTATTACCAGACAAATAGCCTTTTTGTATAGGGTTGATTTGGTTTGGATATATTCATTTTCCTTGATAAGGAAATCGATATTTATTTCAATTCAGTTTATTTATACAATGCCAATTTACAACACATCTCAAAGCACTTTACAGTTCACCAGATCATACAGTCAAATTGATTCAAAGTTTTCTATTTAAGGAAAACCAGTTGATTGCATCGACTCATTGACTCAAATGCATTCCCTCACACTAAGCATGCTTGTAGCGACAGTGGAGAGGAAAAACTCCCTTTTAACAGGAAGAAACCTCCAGCAGAACCAGGCTCAGTGTGAGCGGCCATCTGCCGATGCCAACTGGGTTTCAAGGAGACAGAAGCAGAGATACAAAAGGCAACTGTAAAAGGCAGCCCCGTTCAGGAAACACACAGCATGGCGGACAAGCTCCGAGCCAGATACCATGTCAGAGGATGAAGAGAGCGCATCCAGCCAGTCAGAGAAACAGGACTACACTGAAAAACAGGCCGATCTCCAACATCTATAAACAAAGGTGTTGATGACAGCAGCACAGCTGATATTTCTCTCCAGGATGGTGTCACAGCCAAACAGGAGCTATCAGTCAATATTGGCCCAAATTTTTACATTATTTCATTATAATATATTATCATCATCTGAAATTACCTGCTCTCGATGGAGCTTGGCCATTTAATGGATTTAACAGGAAGCCAATGAAGAGAAGCTATGATAGGAGAGATATGATCTCTTTATTTACATATACAGTTTCACTGCACTGTAAATGAAAATGTAATTCATCTCCACTGGGTATTTTTGAAGACAAACCAAATACCTTGGCAATGGTATATTTTCCTAGTTTTTCTTCAAGAAATGCCTTTAATAATATAGACTTCAGTCTTTAAGTTCCAGATTTTCCATTTCTCTTCTTCAAAGTTGAAGGGTGCCATTATATCCTGACATCACCCAACCATTATTAAAATCAACCTGAGCAAATGAAGATGGCTATAAATGGTTGAATCAATATATGAAGTGGGCAATATGCCTTCTCTATGCCTACCAAAGCGCCCCAACCTCTAAATTGTGACCTTTGCAGGACTAATCCTCTCATTATGTTCATCCTTTCCCCCCTAATCCCTCCATCCCTCGTTCGTGTCCGTCTGTCCAGGTACCTGCTGCCAGTGACCTCCCAGTTCATCATGAAGTGGCCTTCGTCCAGCTTTGGCCGCGTCTCCTCGGCCATGCCACGCTCCCGCAGCCTTTTCACCGCCAGAATGGACCACTTCTGAGGTCATCATGGCAAGCCTGGCTGCAGAAACCTCGCCTTTTAACCTCAACTTCCTCCTCACCTCACACTTCTTTGATGACTCCCACCCAAGCCAAACTCAGATCTTAGTAACCCCAGTATAGATGTGAAATCAAGGCAGCTTTGGACACTGGGTGGGGCCTCAACTCATCCAAATCGCCTTGTGGAAAAGGAATATAGAAAGGCTGAACGACTGGGATTACTGTAGAGCGTTTTATGTAGTCTGTCTTGTTGAAACCAGCTAACCATTCCCTCCATCCCTCCTTTCAACACCAGTAACACCAGAGAGTGGCTTCACTTCTCTGTCTTCATTGTAACTGCTGTATTATATTTCACTGTACAGTTTCAAGTCATGGTACTGTAAAAGAAGGAATTAACGACAAAACAATGCAAGTTTTGTTTATTTATTTATGTAACTATTTAATTTTAAGTTATTTCACAATTGCAGTGAGCGCTGCTGCAGATTGCAGCCTGGGAATAACATTAACAAAGCTTTGCTTCATTTGAATATGGGAGTAAAAAGCTTAGCTATCCCTAATTAGTACTGTTATTTTTGTGTTTAGATTATAATTTATTTTAGAACTTACAGCTAATGGTTTAAGTAAAGTCACTATATTTTCTTTATCATGCAACTCAATTTACGAAATATGGGTACGAGGTGATGCACAGATAACTTTTAAGTGTTTTGAATGCTAACATGTTTTGTTTCTATTTGTGTCTCTATTAAGTGCAGCCCAATTTAAGCGTTCTGAATGTGAGTGTAGTGAGCCAAGCCTTGTTTGCCTCCTGGAACACAAGCTGGCTTTAAAGTCACAGCTTGAAGAGCCAAACCTCTCCAAGAGCACCAACTAGCTCTGATATGCACTTTGCAATTTGTCACAGAAAACGAAAGCAACTTCACACTTGTAGAGAATGCATGCTTAGACTTTAGTCTCTTTAAAACCATAGAAGAGCTGCGTTTGGAATATGAAAAGTTTTTGTCATTAATTATTGTGCTGTCATGGGGAGGACACTTCACTTTCACATTTGCTGATGTTTTAAGGAGGAGAAGGATGTGCATCACAAGATTGCTCAGCCTGCTGAGTGAGTCGGCTCATCAGCTCCCACTTACTGCATTATAACAGCAGGGATTTATCCTGGAAGAAGCTGCTGCCATGGTCAACAATGCACTGTAGATATACACCAGATATTTTATGGATTGTTAGGACAGTATGTTGGATTTTATTTTAAGCTAATGACTTTGCCCAGTGCAGCATCTCATAGCTATGCTTTTATTTTGATAGATAGATACGTTTAAATAGGATTCTAACGTCAACATGAGTTAAGAAAACAATAGTCTTTACAAAACAGTGCAGTATACATATTTTTTACTATTTCAACCTGTCTGTAATGTAGCAGCAATGCTGTGCTAAAACTAAAAAAACATTCAGTGTCCCTATTTTTTCCCCCATGATGTTAACTTTTTTTCTTTATTTTGCAAAATTTATTTAGCTTTTTTTTTTTTTTTTCTTTAAGAAGAATGTTTTCATTGGATGTACCGGGATTATTTATGTTTTATTTTTACATAGCAATAAAATGTTTAATGAAGTTCATGCTCTGGTATACTGCTTTTTTAAAATAGGAATTTTGCATTTAAATGTGACTTCTGCTGATTTTTTGGAGAGTGATAACTAAAAAAAAGTGTTACGTTCAAAATTGTAGGTTCATAATAAATAAACTGAGTCCGCACAGAATAGGGTTTTTTGGCTCCTGCAGGAGGAGAGAGCCATGTTCAGCCACATCAGCTCTCTGGTGGGTGTCCTCAGCAGAAGCCTTTTATTAGCAGATCATAACACATGTGGTGGGCTACAGAACAGTGTTCTTCTGACAAGGCAATTGATCAGGTCATAGGACAAAATGCTCCTCTTGATTGAATCACAGAATAGAGCGGTCTCCTGATAACTGATTATCCTTGCACAAACATGAGCAGTTTTCTACCAAAGTTGCATGACAGTTTGCAGTAAACAAAGTTAAGCATCTCATTTCTTTAATGTTCTATATGCACATGCATTCATTTTATAATCATCATTGAATAAACCTGACAAAAAGAAAGAGAAATTACAAGTAAAACGCAGGAGGATCATGCTGAGAAATAAGGTAGGAATTTGAGCAGAGAATGAGGCAACGAGTTACATTGCAGAATCCCCAAAAGAAATGTTAAAGCCAGTGAGCTTGAATACACAGGAAATAGTGGAGGTGACATTAGACAAAGGTGAGTCAAATAATTATGTCGTACAGCTTAGACAGAGGACAGGACAAATTAACCAGAATGGAGCTTAAGAAAGTATGTAAAGTACGGTACTGAATAAAGATGATAAACAGAATTTAACAGCATATGGCCCGATGTTTGTTTAAAAAAGGAAGTCACAGGAACCCAATTACCTGTGGAATATAAGAATACAAGCCTTAATAATACAAAGATTTTACAGTAGATGTTAGTAGATGTTGATTAAAACTAATTAATCTCTTTTAGTTTTTAAAATATTATTGATATTCAGTCTTTGAACTAATTACTGTGACCTCCACACTTGTTTTTACCCAAAAGCTTGAAATATAGTGACACCACATCAGCCTTATAGAATGTTTTGCTGTGGTCACTGATTTTGAAGCTTGTCTAAGAGAAAGTGAGTTCTGTGTTTTGATGTATTTACACTCTCATTAAAGAGGAATTGATGGATCAATACTAGCATCAATTACAGACACAAGAATGTCTTGGATAAATAAATAATGAAATGCTTTAGTTTAAAGTAATACATGTATATATATATATATATACGTAAACAAAGATTGTGAACATTAGATTTTTGAATGCTGACAACCTTTGATACATAAAGACTGACTCTTAATGTTAAACAAAACCTTAATTTAAAGGGATGCACACTTATACAACCAGGTTTTTGCTAATGTTGAGTATTTTTCGTTTAGTCATGGTCACAAAAAACATCTGAATAGAGATGAGTACAATTGTATCTTTATTAAAACTTCAAGAAATAAAAAACAGCAGAGGTAAATATATCTGAATAACAATTTAACAAATATTCAAATTACATGTTCACTGGTCTTAAAAAAAGCAAAAAAACTGACCTATGTCAGATTTAATATTCATATTGAAGAAATATTGGAAAAATCATGGATTACTAAAAAATGATTTATTAAAAAAAAAACAAAAAAACAATAATGCTAATTACTCTATAAATGTTCTGTATTAGTCTGGTAATCCGGTAAATATTTATCTTTTTTCTTTTTTACACATCCTTCAATAAGTGTGAAGTGCAAGGTAAGTAGAATGCCAGTGTACCATTAGATTAGTGCATATTTAACTATATCTTCACTCTATCTGTGTAACCCAAAGCTGCAGCCAGGGGCGGAGTTAGGAAATCTGGGGCCCAAGGCAAAGACAGGCAGAGGGCCCTCTGAAATGAGAACACATTAAAATCGACCCACTATACAGACATTTTAATAGAATAAACATAAATTATTTGCTCTATGTTTGTCCCTCTCTTCTTTTTCTCTTTCTATTTTCCTTTTAAGGAGAATTTTGAGAAACCAATTAACCGCACAGTATTTTTTTTGGACTGTGGGAGGAAGCTGGAGTACCCAGAGAGAACCCATGCATGCTGAGGGAGAACATGCAAATTCCATGCAGAAAGACCCCCGACCAGGAATCGCACCTGAAACCTTCTAGCTGCAAGGCAGCAGTGCTACCCACTGAGTCACTGCACAGCCCCGTTCTGATGGATTTTTTTTCACTAAAATGCCAAAGACATCCTGATCGCATTTTAGTGAAAGGATTTTTTATCAAAAACATTATTAATGTGCACAAATAAGGAATAGTTGTATTAACCATACATGTAAACAGAGTATTATGGGGCCCCTAGGAACTTGGGGCCCTAGGTATCTGCCTAGTATTGCCTAATAGTAAATCCCCCCCTGCCTAAACATGGTATCTTATCCAAGAGGAGGGCATATATTTTCATGGCCCTCAAGATTTGAGCAATTTTCCATGTCTATGCAATACTACACAACCGCCTTGGATTTGCCAGCTAAACAGATAATGAGTTGCTGAGCTGCGACATTTTCAAATGTGGTATAAATCTACCTCAAGTAGAACTCTACAATCATTTAGAATTTTCCTGGACACTGGTGTGGTCCTCCCCTCTACAACAACATGCTGTCTGGCTGTGACATGAGGTTTACAGCGCTGACTTTCTTACTCTGACCCTCATTCCCTGCAGTAAAGAACTGACACTCTGGCGTCCAGATGCCAGCCATCAAACAGACGCTGACACACCCCTACTGTATTTCCAGAAGAAAAGAAAAAGACAGATTGTTTTTTTTTGTTTCTCTCCCTTACATGAAAACTGACAAAACCTATGATTTTAGACAGAAAGATATAATTAATTATAAGAGGAAATTGGTTTGATTTACAGTTCTCAACATTTTTTTTATTTATATATTTCTGTCTTTGTTTTTTTTTTTTTTCTTTTCTTTTCTGGCATCTTAAACTCGTTCAAATGCTTTTAAATCACCGAGAAACCCCTTAACTGGGGGCATGTGTATAGCTTTTTCTTTAACATTTAATGCTGCATTTAATGCATGGTAAGATTTTTTTACTTTAACAGGGAGTGTCAAGTAGCGCTAATTATAACACATATGTCCTGCAGAACAATGATATTTTAAAAAACTTCCTGTCCACCCGATTTCCATTACTTGAGCTGCTTTGAGGCTTTTTGGTTTAGCTTCAGAGCTCTATCACATTTCATGGTGAAAGCCCCTGCGGACAGGCGATACTCCTGACCTGTCACTCGCCACTGTAATGAGAGTGTGTACCCAGACAGTCTTTCTCGTTTCATTTTGACCCCAACCGTGGCCCCTGTGCTTGACTACGTGTGTATTTGTGAAGAAAAGCAATGTCTGTTTTATTTAGACCTACAACTGCAGCATCCTGTACAGTTTCGACCACTTTTCCGTCAGCAGAGGAGCTGCTGGGCCTGACCTCTGAGCCCTCTGGCCTTTGCCTTGGCTCCTGAAACCAGATGAGAGCCCAGACGGTGACCGTTTGGTGCCGCAATTCTGTTATACTGTCCAAAAGTATCTCCGCCGTCGACAGGAGTGCACTGTTGAATTCTACCCTTCCTACTTGTCACACTGCCTATCCAACCAATTGCTCCAAGCCTCTCTTCCTTACTTGTGTGTGGTCTGGGCAGCTTTGCTCACAGTGTCCAGCAACACCCAAATGACCCAGTTTCAGGGCCCTAAGCCGAGCAACCTCTTAGGCTTGGAAAGTAAAAAAGGCCACTGGGAGCTGTGTGAGAGGTGGTTTGTTGAGATGAGATAAGGAAGCACACTCTGGTTCAAAACGCAGATGGCCAGGCTTCATATCTGCTCTTAATCCACTATTTCAAATGACATGGGGGGAAAAAAGAGCAGTGTGGTTTATTCTGCAATTATGACAGTGTAAAGTGAGGTGTCCAAACTGCCTTCCTTATCCATTCCCGTGAAGCTTTAAAAGGGGATCTGGTGGTGGTCTGTTTGCTTTCAGGTGGCAGAAGTGACCTTTCTTATCAGACAAATGTAGCTTGTGTTAGACTTTTATTTGACAATAACTGTGTGTGTATGTGTTTGTTCTACCCACAGTAGGTCTTCTCAGACAGATCCCTATGATGTAACTTTATGGCTAGTTGTCTTGCAAAAGTATTTATGCTGCTAAACATTTTTTTTTTTTCATTTTATTATTGGCCAACTGCAAAAATGAGTATACTCTACTGGAACTGTATGTGGAAGTGCATAATTATAGAATGGAAGAGATAGATAATACATGATGAATTTTTGTTTATGCATGAACAAAAACATCTGAATTGATTCCCATTGTACTCTGATGCTTATCCATTAATTATCAGAAGTAATTGCTAAATAAAAGTACAGAGATCCACAGCAAGAATTTTCATTTACCTGAAGTCATCGATGGAACAACAAAAAAGCTGTTCCTAAAATGAAAATAGGGATTGTCAGCATCATACTGTGGGGAAGCTTTTTATCAGTAGGAACAGCAAAGCTGGTGGAGTTGAGCTCAGTAAAGCATACATTAGCAAAGAAAAGCCTGTTAGAGGCTGCAATATACTTCAGATTGAGCTGGAGGTTTACAATCCAGCAGGGCAACAAACCTAAACCTACAGCAAGAGCTAAAATGTAATAGTTCAGATAAAAGCACATTCTTATGTTTTAAAAAACAAATCAGATTAGAAACCTGAATATAATTCAGAGTTTATGGCAACACTTGAAAGTAATGTTGACAGATGTTTGTTATTCAGTCTGGCTATATAAAGAGAAAAGACACATTTTAGTCTATTGTTGTGCGATATCAGAATAATCAGAATGCGAAGC